ACGCTTTTGACATAATTTAGACCTAAGGAAGCTAAGGAGACCGGAGATTCAACCTAAGGAGTCAAGAACACAATAGGAGCAAGACGCGGAATTCTTCAACGAGTTTTTCCTTCTTCTTCCTACTTTTTCATTGTTGGTTATGATTTTTAGTATTGTAGTTTTACATACTATTATGAATAGCTAATTCGTTTTCTAGGGTTTCGATGGAACCTTTTGGGGATGAATTGGTTGTTATATTAATATAGTTTTGAGTTAGTTGTTAATCTCTATTTGTTCAACTACGTTTTGATTTTGGTTAATTGAAAGGATCCTCAATTAGCCGTTCCTATTTATTATGTATCTGCTTGAGAGAGAGTGCATATTTAGGTAGTTGTTTGAACAACATCACTCCCGGAGTATAGGCGAGAGTCATAACCGAGGGTTTAGAGGTTGGATTAGAGATAACGATACCTCGGGTGCAATCTAAGTGAACTGTAATGTGAATCTAGCTAGCGTAGCTTGAGATAATGCGTCTAGTAAATTATCATAATTGCTTGAGAGAGATTTATGATAGCTGGAGAGTTCATGATTGATAGAGGCAACTAAGTCAAAGCTATAAGAAACATACAACTAATGAAATCAACAATTGGGGAAATCATAACTCTAGACCTCCTTAATTTAGTCTCCAACCCTTTGTCTCGTTAGTTGATAATTTTACCGCTTTGTAGTATTTGCTAGTTAATTAGTTAGAAATATAAATCTCAATCTTTATAATTTAGGAAATTGTTCAAACTTGTCTTCTTAGTGATATTAAACAGATTTAGCGAAACCTTAGTTCTCTGTGGGATTCGACTCTGGACTTTTAGACCGGATTATATTTGCAGCGACCGCTTATCCTTTTTAGGACTAGAGTTGGGCTTGTAAATTGGTTAATTAAATTTTGTAATTGAAGGAGATAACTATTGTAATTGGAGTAGTCAATTAGTAGCCAATATATACTGAATTGAACCTATGTTTTGAATTGGTGTGTCTATCTACCAACGAAAAACTAAATAAATCAAACGACTCACCCTAAAATATTCTACTGTACTAATTGAAGGCAGCCTTCTTGAATCAGTTCCACATGGCCAGATACTATTCTTTCTTGGAAAAATAATACTATATAGCTGCTCTCAAAATAATAGCCGAATATATATATATACACGCACATACATTCTATATGTTATATACAAAAATTATACAAATTTGATACACTTTTTCGGCTACTGAGTGTAAATAGTTTTTGACGCGGGCTAAAAGTGATAATACTCCTTCCTTCTTTTCCAGTGACAACAACATACCCAGTGTGATCCCACAGATGAAAACCGGGGAGCAGTGGCGAAGCCAGGAAATTCAATAACGGTGTTCAAATTTTGAACACCCTTTGCCAGTAGGCTATGCAAAGGTGTTCAAAGTTTATTTTTAATCAATAACAAGTAATATTTTACCTTATATATAGTATAATTTTTCGACGAAGGTTGGTCAGTTGACAACCCTTGGACTAACATAGCTTCGCCCCTGCTAGGGAGGATAGTGTACACTTTATCCCTATTTTGTGTGAGGATGTGGGGAGGGTGGTGTACATCGACTTTATACCTATTTTGTGTGAGGAAGAGATGCTATTTTCAGCATATCCTCGGCTAAATACAGTTCTTTCTTTTGTGAAAAAAAAATACAATTTTTTTTCTGTTTTATTTTTAATGGTGGGGAAGGGGTCAAGTTATAAATGATCTGCAAGAGGAGAACGATAAATTACATTAAAGTGATGCAAGATCACAACAATCTGAGTTCTAAGATTTCTAACTTATGGGATACATTGATCAAATCAATTTTCATAAAAAGAAAACTATCTTTTTCAAGTTCTCTCATTAGCTTAATTAATTCTGAAAAAAAAAATATATTATGAAAACAGCCAAAGAAATTAATTACCACAATCCATTGACAACATGATTGCAAGTATTCTTGATCCATCTAAAACTCTTTCTAAATGAACCTTTCATTTTACCTTCCACAGCATAAGCCTTATATCCAACCACTCTTTTCTTCCTCTGCAATTCAGGATCATTAAAATTCCAATTCTTTAAAGAAGAAGATGAAATTACTTTGCTCTTGCTCCTCTTGATCTTCACTTCCTTATCATAATTAGGGTTTTGCTCTACTGATGAATAATTACAAGAAGTATGTGAAGTACTATAGCTCCTTAAATCTTGCATGTTTTTTGGACCTGTCCTCTCACTGCTATAGTAGTTTTCCACTGGCATATTTCTTCTTTCTCTAGTTGATTTAGATCTAAAATTCTCCATTTGTATACAAAGGAAAGAAAAGGGTTATTAGGTTTTGCTTCAAGTTTCAGTTTGGAATAAATATGAATTGATCAGCTCAATGTGGTGGCTTTAATATCTTTATTCTAAACTTTGAGTACTCTCTCCGGTCCAAAATAAGTGATTTTTTTGGCTTTTTTTTTTGTCCAAAATAAGTGATTTTTTCAGATTTTAAGAATGAATTAATTATTTTTTTCCTACATTGCCCTTGGAGTAAATAGTGTTGGAGTATGTGTTAGGAGTATTTAGGTGAAGAAATAGTAAATGTTAATATGATCAATTTCATTGCTAATTAATGCTAAAAGGTAAATTTCTTAATCTGTGTGAAAACAACTAAAAAATTACTTATTTTGGATCGAAAGGAGTATCTTTTTTAGGTTTTATTTAAATTAAAAGGTGTGCTATGACTTTTCCAATGATGCAAAATGGCTGTAAAAATTTAATGCTGTTCCCCACAAATTGCATGTTGATGGCGCATGGGGCTGAATGTATCATTCTTTCATAATCAATTGCCATATGTATTATTAGTCAATGTTGACCGTTGAACCACATTGTATGTTCTTTTCTTGGAATATTATCAAAAACCGTTGTCAATTACATACTCTGAATTGTTGAATCCTTCGTCCTTAACCAAAAGTTCCGAATTCGAGTTTGGTATAGAGTCGTATTTGATAGGGAGTACTTTATTCCTAATATAAAACTTTTAAGTGCGAATTCGAATTTAATCGTACCCCAATATTACTGCTATCGAACACCGGATAATTAAAAACAGAACTCTTATTGGTCATGATTCATGAATTTGCAATTCAACCAGTATACCGCCAAGACTTAGGGATTATTTGGTAGGATGCGTTAGAGAAAATAATGCATGTATTGGGTTTTGATATTACTAGTTCCTTGTTTGGTACACTTTTTCAAGTTATGTATTACTAATGCAAGTATTAGTTTTACAACCTATTTGGTATTAACCTATGTATAACTAATACATAGCAAACTACGGTATTAGCAATACCAAGGATATTAATGCATGCATTATCATGGTTAAAGATAAAATTACCTTAAATTCCCTTAAAGTTAAAGAATATGGAGGGTATTTTTGTAAACAACTAATTTTCTTAAAAATTATGCAATGCATTTTAATTTTTAATACACCACTCCAAACTATGATAAGAAATAATTTCTGCATAACTAATGCTTAGCATTACTAACTCATGTATTAGTAATCTCTGTATTATTAATACACCTTATTTAGCATTATTCTTATACATCCTACCAAACGACCCATTACAGTTATACTTGTAGATTTAATTCTCAATGTCCCCTTTTCTTTACTTCTATATTGGTCCAAAAAAAAAAAAAAATACATTGATCCCAATGTAATAGATATTTTAAAAAAGAAAGTGTATTATCATGAGTTTAAATCTCAATAAAATTGGTCTATCTAATTATGTTTTTTACTTCCTTTTTAAAGGAGAAAAAGATATTATCTTTCTTTTTGGTTCTTTTCGTCTTTTCTAGGTAGTTTATATAAAACAAATGAGATATGAGAAATAAGCCTCTAAAAATGACTTGGGGATGTGATATTTGAAGATTTCCTGTATTTTTAAGTCAATCCAAAGAAAACTTGATACATATTTGGTTTAATCAATTGACTTGTTATACCAGTTTCAAGAAAGTAAAAGGAAAAATTCCATGCTTAGACTTTATATATATGGGGGAGAATTGAGAAGGAATATGTCTTCATAATAAGTCAAATATTTTAGCAGTCTAAATTGAAGGGAATGCAGAAACTCCCAATTGAACAAGCAGTTGACAAATAGAAGTTCATTTCACCAACCCTTGCTATTAACGTTTCACGCACGATTAAAAGGGCAGTCCGGTGCATAAAGCATTCTACATTCACGCAGGATCCGAGGAAGGGTCGCACCTAAGGGGTGTGATGTAGACAGCCTACCCTTTAGACTAGCGGCTGTTTCCACAGCTCGAATCCGTAATATATAGATCACACGGAAATAACTTTATCGTCACTCCAGGTTCCCCTAGCTACTTGTTTTCACATGCAAGTTGTACCAACTATAATTAATGTTATATATGCCTTTCACACTGTTTTATGCAATTAAGTAAAGAGTACTTCAATAGTGCCACACTAAAATATAAAGCAGAAACAGAGAGTATTCAATGATGACTCCTTGCATCGTCAGAACCTCAACTTTTTTTTGTACTAACAACGAATTAATAACTCATGTACATTGAACAATATACCACAACTACCCAACAGCTTGGATTTAATGTCATGTTTATTTATTTGTTGTATGCAATGCATTTCAAGTGTATCAACTGTCAATCAAATTGTGTAACCGACAATTTGAAAATCATTTTCTTTTTCTTTTTCTTAGCTAAAAAATAAGACTACACAAGCTTTAAAAAAATCACTATACACTAAAGGGCAGTCCGATGCACTAAGCTCCCTCTATGCGCGGGGTCCGGGAAGGGTCGGACCACAAGGGTCTATTGTACGCGGTCTTACCCTATATTTCTGTAAGAGACTGTTTCCACTGCTTGAACCCGTGACCTTCTGATCACAACACTCTCATAAAGAAAAAGATTTCAAGACTTCCCAGTTTATAATTCATGTTTCCATGCCAAAAAAGAAGAAAAAAAGAAGCAAGAACACAAAATTAAGAACTCAAATAAACAACAAAATGCCAAAGAAGTTTAAGAATTGGGAAATGAAAACAAAAGACCTTACCTACTGCAAAATTTGGAGCAGCATTAATGCCACGGATCTGTCTTAGACACTAGATAATAATGGTAGTTAAAAGACTAACTCTATGCTATAAGCTGGAATGGTGTGGACACTAATTACTCTTTCTGCTTAAAGCTCCAGCCACAAACATAAGTTTTTCAGAGGAGATCAGCAACATTTGAGGGGAGTTCTTCGATGATCACGTTGTAGAACTTCTGAATATCGAACAACATTCTTTCGTCATCTGTTGTCACAAAGTTGATTGCAACTCCTTTCCTTCCAAACCTTCCACTTCTTCCAATACGATGGAGATAATTCTCCGGCTGAGTCGGGAGATCATAGTTGATCACAAGTGATACTTGTTGTACATCAATACCACGAGCCAACAGATCGGTTGTGATAAGAACACGAGAAGAACCAGAGCGAAACTCGCGCATGATTATGTCCCTAGTGTTCTGGTCCATATCTCCATGTGTAGCTGAGACTGTGTGATCACGGCTTCGCATTTTGTCTGTTAACCAATCAACCTTGCGCCTGGTGTTCACAAAGATGACACTCTGGGTGATCGCTAAAGTCTCGTATAAATCACACAGTGTCTCAAGCTTCCACTCTTCCTTATCAACATTAACATAGAACTGTTTGATACCCTCAAGTGTCAATTCATCGCGTTTAACCAAGATTCTCACGGGCTTATTCATGAACTTTCTTGTGATGTCAAGGGCTTCTGGTGGCATAGTCGCAGAAAACACTCCGACTTGAACTTTGGTAGGCAGCATCTGAAAAATATCATATATCTACCAGTATAGACACATGAAAAGAGATCAAAATTAGCAGTTTTTCAAAGTCTGCATAAAATCAAATAAGAGGGAAACTATGATCAACCCTGTATATACTCTTTATAATCAGCAAATTAAGGAATAAATTGAACAGGATGGGTTTGTATATAATGGCCTTAGGAACTAAATAAATGGGAGGGGTACTAAGTGCGGCGCCAATAACACAAATGGTCAAAAAATTCAATTTCTAATTCCCAACAATGATTAAAATGACTGGTCGACAGAGTACAAGAAGATCTAACATGGTCTAAATTTGGATTTCTATATTGGTTGCTCCAAAGAACTAATTCCAGATATTCTTAAATTGGCAAACCTAGTAGACCTCGGACCTGAACTTGTTCAAACACAGTTATACTTATAAGGTGTAAAATGCATTACTGCAGAGGTTGAAGTACCTGATCCTTAAAACCACGTGACAGCATTTCATCAGCCTCGTCTAGCACAAACATTCTGAGGTAATCAGGACGGAGAGACTGTCTTCGCAACATGTCAAACACACGTCCGGGGGTGCCAACAACAACATGAACACCAGCCGCAAGAATACGTTGATCCTCCCTGACACTAGTCCCACCTACGCAAGCATGGACCTTAACCCCAAGGTAGTCACCTAGTGCTCGCATCACCTTCTCAATCTGTTGAGCAAGTTCACGAGTAGGTGCTAACACCAATGCTTGGCATTGAACTAAACCATAATCAAGCTGTTGCAGAATTCCAGAACAAAAAGTAGCTGTCTTTCCTGTGCCAGATTGAGCCTGCTGAATTACGTCAAGCCCCTTGCAAAATGGAACTATACCTCTTTGCTGAATTGCAGAAGGTTTCTCAAAACCTTTAAAAGAAGCATCAAAGATTGCATGCAGCAAAAAAGACCATTAAGATGTTGGAATATAAGGTCGGCTCTTCATGATATCATAAGGCACAAATAGGACGGAAGAGGGAGATTCATATGAAGGACTCTACTAATATATAGAAAACTCCACTCTTACATAACAACACCACAAAATGGGCTTCTGTAGGTGCTAAAAGATAATTCCCTTAGTACTACCAAATCCTTTCGCACACACTATGAACATGGCCGTCTTGAGAACACAAAAAGCATGCACCCAAAAAATACAAAAATCTTATCCCACGAGCCATATGATTAAATCATACACGTATTATATAATAGAATGTACCGAATCTAGAATATTCAAAATTATGTTTCCAACATAAGAAGCATGGAATGGGAAAAAGGCAAAGAGGAGAATGATAACTTTTAAGTTTCCGAACCACTTTGAAGAAACAAAATCAACAAGTTTAAGCCACAGAAAGAAACTTTTTTCAGAAAGTCACAATTAAATGGTACTTCTGAACAAGAACCTACTGAAAACCAGCTGGACGCATCTACTTTCCGTAAGTAATGGAATGCTTATCAGATTAAAAAGCAAAATCTAAAGAATTTCCATACTAGAGAAAACTTAAAAGGTCTACACACAGTACCATAGGCATAAATGCCCCTGAGAAGGTTCTCTTGCAGACTCATAGCATCAAAACTGTCATAAACTTCGTCATATGATGTAAAGAAATCTTTTCCATCAGCGGCAAGTCTGCACCATATAATTAATAATAGAGACAAGTGCTGTTTCAGCCATTCTCGCTTGAGCAATTAAACAAATATAAAAATAGTAATGATTCAAGGAAAAAGCTAATGTTAGTATTGTGCAATGAATATCATGATAACTTACAAATCGTTCATCTTAGAATCATATTGACGGGCATCAAATTGAGCTCCATCTGGTGCCAAACGTGCCATGACTGTAATGTACGTACTTTATGCATCAGTAAATACTAGTATCGCCCATAGATCAAATACTTGAACCGATAAGTGAAATAGATGACCAAAATAAAGAAAGAAATTGAATCTCGAAACGATTGATTCTTGTCAACCCTCCCATAACAAATATGATTCATTAAACCTTAACAAACAAAAAGAAAATCTTTACACAACGAATTAATGAACTCGAATTTACATTGCTCCTGTTTTAATGGATCTCAACAAACTACACAAAGTGGATAAGCCATACAGGCATTGGTCTAAAAATTAATTTTTACGAATCTTAAACTACAGATCTCATTCATTTCAATAACTATATATCTTCTGAAACTTATCAGAATCTCACAAACACAACAATCAACATGATAAATAAGAAGAAACAATTTCCTCTAATAGTATCTGTCGCGAACAGAACATATAACACTCTGCATTCCCACACTAAGTGCTCGCCACATATAAAATGGTGGTCAGTTGAACACCCTTCATTGAAAAATTCTACTGTGTATATAAAAAGATTCTACTGTATATATGAATCATAAATTATTTTTTATACATGTATATTAAATCTTGAGCACACTTAGCGAAATTCTTGGCTTCGCCACTGTCTGCACCTAATGAAAAGGTTGATCTTCTCCACTCTTAAGATCGACAAGAAATACATCCCAAAACAATGTAAAGGAAAGAATTAGAGAGTTTGCGGTTAATTTCTCCATGATATTCTCAGCGATCAGAAGACAAAACATTCGACAACAAACAGATATATATAATCCAGAAGGCAACGTTAATTAACAAAAAAATTAAAATGAAGAAAAGGACAAGATATAATGAGTTCAAACCTCGGAATGACGACGATAATAACTTTAGCAAAACTGAAAATTAAACAGAAAATTTTCTGTTTTAGAGCTTTCAAGATGGGGTCTGAGTGAGGAGCTGAAGAAACGAGGCAAAAGTCTTTCTAAAAGCATATAAAACGGGTCTGAAGACAGGTGTCAACACAACATTTCATGCAGTTTGGTTGCTGTTTTTCCCCACGTAAATAGTGTATTACTAAAGTTTTACACTAGTGTATTATAAGTTCAGTCACAATCACATGTAGGAGTACTATTTTATATCCGATAAATTTAATTTGACATTGCTAATATACAATATAACATATACCCATATTTACATTATTAAGTTAATAAACCAATTTACTAGCAATCCACGTGAGTTTTCCAAGAGAAAACTTGCACTAAAGAGATAAAGGAAAATATTAGAAATCCATTCCCACTAAAAAAGAAAATAAACGACAGGTCATGAAATTATGCATATACCGTACTTTAGCATTTACGTTAGGAACTCTAAAAGTATGGTAAAAACAATAATTAAAGACTTTCTAATTAATATAATACACTGTACACAGTACAATCAAACTTCTTTATAACAACCTCGTATGTTCTGATATGTTTTGGAAGTTACAGTACTGAAGTGCTATTATTAAAAAAATATATTATAATATAACATAAGAATTAGTTCCAAGAAAACTGGTCGTTAAAGTGAAGTGCCGTTATAAATAATGATTGTTATGGAGAGATCTAACGGTAATAGGCAAAATGAAGATAATATCACAAAAAAATGAGGAGTTACTTTCTGAAAAGCTACAGCAAATCCTTTTAATACTACAGCCTACAGCTGGATCAAGTAATTCAATGATTTACATTTTCTTACTGGTTTTTATCATTAGTTCATTACCTACTGCTTTATTACCAGGATAGAAAGCTTGTTTGAGCTGAATAATAATTTCAACTTTTTTTTATTTTTATTTTTCCTATTAACTAGTTATTAATCATAATTAGTGATTACGTGTCAAATTAAGAAGTTCTTCCCATTAATAACCAAATACTACATCAATAAGTTTTTTGTTAATTTGGATAATTGGAAATGATTCTCATTTGAGCCGAGGGTCTTTCGGAAACAGCCTCTCTACTCCTTCGGGGTAAGGTAAGGTCTGCGTACACACTACCCTCCCCAGACTCCACTCGTGAGATTTTATTGAATTGTTGTTGTTGTTGTTGGAAATGATTCTCATAATCTAAAGTTCTAAATCAATTAGGTAGAAGTATTTGATATACTCTCAGATTTGAATGGCATGAAACTGTACGTAATAGTTAAGCAAACAACTACTACCTCTTGCATTTTATGTGACACTATTATTGTTTAGTTAGTCGATAGTTTTTTCTTTGGCAAGAAGATTTCTTACTTTGTGAAACATTTTAAATTATACAAAATTATGACTTATATTATTTTTATGTGACTTTTAAATACGTAAATTTATTTTAAGTAAATTAAAGAATCACTAAAATGAAATGAACTGGTATTATATATGTCCGAACTTAATGAAATGAATGAATGAGAAATTCAAAAATAGCCAGATTTACAAGTGGTAGTTCAAAAATAGCCCAGTTTCAAAAGTAATCGAAATTTAGCCACTTTTCATGTAAAGATAAATCTGAGTGAAAACACTGTTCAAAACCCGGAAAATACGCTTGTATATTATGCTGGAGTTCCAGCATAAGTATACTTGAACTCCAGCATATTATACTGGAGTTCCAGGATAAGTATGCTAGAACTTTAGCATGATATGATGGAGTTCCAGCATAAGTACACTAGAACTCTAGCATAATATACTGGAGTATACCGGTCCAGTATAATATGCTGGAAGTTCATACACAAGTGCTCGAATCTCCAGTATATTATGCTGGAACTTTCCGTGTGTTGGAGTTCCAGCATAATATGCTGGAAGTTCATACACAGGTGCACCGAACACCAGTATATTATGCTGGACCGGTCTCTGTTGCAGCAAAATAGTGGCTATTTTTCATTGACTTGATAAACGCTGGCTATTTTTGAATGACCAGTTCGAAAACTGGCTAGACTGTGCGATTTTTACAGTACAGCATAATGGATCCAAGTTCATCCGGCCCAAAAGTAGAATACTGGACAAAGGCCCAAATGAAATAATCAAAGGCCCATTTACAGTTTCCAGATCCAGTTCATAATCGTTGGTTCCTATGCTGGGTGCTCTCTCTCTCTCTCTCTCTAAAGTAAATCTATTCGATATTTTTTGCCTTCTCAGTCTCAGGTGCTCTCAATCTTTATGTCAATCACTTTCTGAAACGATAGATCTCGGTCACCCTACTGTATCACTAAACATTGACAAGGTTCGATTTCCAATATCTTTCTGTATATTCGCATTGATTCTTTATCTTTCTTTTTGCGTTTTTAGGGAGAAATTTATTTATTATGATTTAGATCTTACGGAACTGAATTTTTGCTATATTTTGCACCTTTATGCTACCAATAGACACTGATTAAGTTTGACTTACTGTTTGTTAGGGTGAATAGCGTAATTCAATGGTGAAATTTTGATTTTTTTTTTGGTTTCCAATATTTCACAATAGTAGATTATGTAAAAACTGATTTTAGAACAGTAATGAAAAGTTGATGCTTGATCAGGCTTACGTTGTTAATGTGGAATTCAGCTTGGAAAACAGCTTTGCTGTCCTCGTCAACAGTTACAATTGAGATTATTTTATTCTCAGATAGGGAAACTTAAATATGAATTGAAATTATAGTTAAATCATGCATTCATTGATGTGCAAACTCACACGGGAACACATATAACTCAAATAGTGTTCGAAGGGGAGCCTTGGTGTAACTGGTAAAGTTGCTGCCGTGTGACCAGGAGGTCACGGGTTCGAGCCGTGGAAACAGCCTCTTGCAGAAATGCAGGGTAACGCAGCGTACGATAGGCCCTTGTCCGGCCTTTCCCCGGACCCCGCGCATAGCGGGAGCTTAATGCACCGGGCTGCCCTTTTAGTGTTTGTCTGGACGTTTTCTATTCATCTCGAGTAGCAAATACAAGATTCCTTGTTTACTCTTTTCTTTCCAGTATTTTGATTATGAATTTTTTTTAGTATTTTACTTTACGCGTCACAGCAATTAGGAATCAAGAATCTATATCTTTTGATCAAAGAAGGTTCTAGCTGTTGGAATAATGGTATCTTTCTGTGGTATTGCGTTCAGCTCGGTCTCTTTGCATATATAGTTGTGATTATTACGTACATGCATATAGGTCCGAACCCATTTCACAAGGAAGTAGTGGGTGCAGCAGTACTCTGCATTTTACTGACTTAAAGTCCATTATACACCTTCTGTTGTAGTACCTCTATTAGAGCTTATGGACTCTACCCGCATGTATGCCGTAGATCTCGTATGTATTTGCTAATATGTTCTCCATGTTGCTTGTGTGTTTTATACTTAGTGCTGGATTTTAATTTATGACATTATGGCAGAGAATAATATATTGAAGTTGGGAAAATGGCTGACGACAGTAAGGCAACCGAGAACCATAGCGTCACTTCTGATAATAACTTATCTCCAAAGAGCGGTAATGAGGTATCAATTGATTCCTTAGCACGGCAGGTGCAAGAATCTCTCTCACTGGCAAAGAAGCATAAGTTTTGGGAGACTCAACCAGTGGGCCAGTTTAAGGATCTTGGAGATACAAGCTTGCCCGAAGGTCCTATTGAACCTCCGACACCCTTGTCTGAAGTTAAGCAGGAGCCTTACAATCTTCCTAGTCCATATGAGTGGACCACCTGTGATTTGGACTCAGAAGATATGTGTAATGAGGTCTATGTTCTGCTAACAAACAATTATGTCGAAGATGATGAGAACATGTTTAGGTTCAATTACTCAAAGGAATTTCTTCGATGGGCACTTCATCCTCCAGGTTACTACAAGAGCTGGCACATTGGAGTCAGAGTGAAGACCTCGAAGAAATTGGTTGCTTTTATTACAGGGGTACCGGCAAAGATACGCGCTAGAGATACTGTTGTGGTCATGGCAGAGATAAACTTTCTGTGTGTTCATAAGAAGCTTCGATCAAAAAGACTTGCTCCTGTCATGATAAAAGAGGTCACAAGGAGAGTTCACTTGGAGAATATTTGGCAAGCTGCTTATACAGCTGGGGTGGTCCTTCCAACACCTATATCAACATGTCAATATTGGCATAGATCTTTGAATCCAAAGAAGCTTATCGATGTTGGGTTTTCTAGGCTTGGCCCGAGAATGACAATGAGCCGCACAATAAAGCTTTATAAGTTACCTGATCAGACTGTCACACCTGGGTTCAGAAAGATGGAGCCCCATGATGTTCCCGCCGTTACTCGGTTGCTTAGGAATTACTTGAAGCAGTTTGCAGTTGCACCTGATTTTGATGAAAATGACGTGGAACACTGGCTTCTGCCAAAGGAGGATGTTGTTGACAGCTATCTGGTTGAAAGCCCCGAGACTCATGAAATCACGGACTTCTGTAGTTTTTACACACTTCCTTCATCGATTCTTGGTAATCAGAATTATTCCACTCTGAAAGCTGCTTATTCTTATTACAACGTTTCCACTAAGACTCCATGGATTCAGTTGATGAATGATGCCCTCATAGTGGCAAAGCAAAAGGATTTTGACGTTTTCAACGCCCTAGATGTTATGCATAACGAAACTTTCTTGAAGGAACTTAAGTTTGGCCCTGGTGATGGGAAACTCCACTACTATCTCTACAACTATCGACTAAAGCATGTTTTAAGATCATCAGAACTTGGGCTCGTACTGTTGTAGTTTGTGCACTGAAGATTGTTGGCTGCCTGGGAAGCATTTTTGGTAATATGTGTTCAGTTCTCGTTTTAGCGCCCCCCTTAATTGCCCTGTTAAACTATGTTTGCATCCATGTCTACATTTAGGCGCCAGTGTGAAACTTCTGAACATAATTTCTTTTTCCTCTTAATTTAATTGTACTTTATGATGTCTCATCTTCCATGGTTCATCCATTTTTGATCCCAAGATCTTAAGCAATCTTTACTATGGAGAAATAGTTTTTTTCCTT